TAATTATTAGCAAAGGATTAATAAATTAAATAAGAATAATAAATAAAATAAGATTTGAAAAAAAAAAAAAAGCAGTTTATAAAACTCAAAGGATATTCTGAGAATTAAATTTATAAATTTATATCTTGAGACAATTCTTATTTTATTAAGTATAAATGTGACTATAAAAAAAATAACAATCCTTCTATATATATTCAGAGATTCTTGATAAAATCCAAAGAATCTACAATGTCATTGGACTTGATTTTCAGTCATTTTCCTATCATGGCAATGTGGATTGCCTCTTCCTTTTCTATAAATACTTTCATGGTAATTGTTCTAAGGAGCTTTCCTCTGTGGTACCTAGACTTTATGAATTGAAGTGCAGTACTAGATTGGCAACAAGGTCTCATCATTTTACAGTTGAAATAGTGAGAGATGTAACCGTAAGTTCTATGCTAATAGTTTCTTCTGTTGCACATCTCACTCGTGGAACACTTTTCAGACTTCTTGCTTCCTAGTCAACTTCAATCTTCAAAATTTTAAGTTTAATGTTAATCATTATCTTCTGTCTTCTTAATTCTTGTTCTTTTATTATTCTCTCATGGTAATAGTGTTTTTATCTCATATTCTGTCGCACTCCGTAATCACTTGTATCTTAGTGGGGTTATTACCTTGCTTGGGGTGAAATGAAAAAAAGAAAAAAAAAAAAAAAGATCATCATCTTTTTTACATCTTTTGCTATTCAGGTCATCATGGTTGCTATACTCAATATTTTGATCGTTTTACCTTTTTACCTTCCTTTCTATCTTTTCTACCTTCTTCCTTTTTATTTTCCTTTCTATCTTCTTTTCTACCTTCTTTCCTTTTCACCTTATCTACCTTCTTCCTTTCTATCATCTTCCTTTTCACCTTCCTATCTTCTTTTCTACCTTCTTTCCCTTCTTACCTTCCTTTTCACCTTCTTATCTTTCTACCTTCTTCCTTTTCACCTTCTTCTGGTGTCTGTAGTTGGTAAACTTCTTGAAATTTTGAACTGGTGTTTTTATTCTTTGTCACAGCTGTACAGAATGACATATACATAGTTCTTCATCAGGTTTTCTTTCTCCTCAGATTAAACTATTGATTAAAAGTATCTAGTTCCCTAGCCGTTGTGAGTTCAATCCTCAGGTCTAGTAGAGCTGAAAATCATATGCTAATTCAGTGGAAGAAACAGACAAGTGATACAAAAAGGAACAGATTGGATATTATTAACCAATATGAAGTATCATTTGAGCATGAAAAGCAGAATGAGAACACTAACCTCGTCCTGGATATAATGATAAACTGCATCTGTGTCCAGGGTAAGATGATAAACTACATCCAACAGCAAGGCCTCTGATTAGGAGGTTTTGAGGAGTGTGGAACCACCTCTTAATTGCTGGTGTTCCCAGGTCCACCCTGATCCGGGGTGGTAGCACCTGTTAGGGTCCCAGCTATGGGCAACTAGTTAACCCCAAAGCCAGATCTTGTCATGGGTATGACAATAAACTACATCCACATCCTGGGTAGCGTCTTGGGTATGACGATAAACTACGTCCAACAGCAAGGCCTCTGATAATACGTTCTTGAAAAAAATAATGTATGTTTTTGAAAAAAAAAAATTACCTGCTATACGTTTTTTAAAAAATAATATTACCAGCTATACATTTTTAAGAAAAAAATATTAACAGAAATGGATTTTTGACAAAACAAAAATATTACCAGGAAAAAAAAAATGTCAGCATTAAATGACCCATTGAAGTTGATATGCTGTAAAACAAAACAAACCAAACCAAGAACACTCTAACCTTATGAATTGAATAAAGGGTTTGATTTACCAAGCATGAAGATAGATACTTGAAGAAGGCCAGAGAGTACAACAGCCAAAATACTGTGAGTGTTACCATCAAGATGGGGATGCTGATCCAAATAGCAAAGCACATACTGGTAATTCTTCATCTCAAAAATTCCAAAAAAATTCTAGCTAGCATTGGATCAGATTTGGAAGGCAGTGTATACGTGCATCAAAGAAGCAAAGTCTAGGAAATATTTGGGCCATAAAAATGATAAAAAAAAAATTGAAGAATTCTGAAGAATACAGACAGGTGTATTGGTTTTGTTCCTAAAACTTATAATGACAATATTGTGAAAATTATTGTTATGTCTGATTTAAAATGGACAAAATCAAATTTTTTTTTTTTTTTTTTTAAATATTTTTAGTTTGGTTATAAAAAGTTCTATTTTGAATGTTATATTATAAAGGAAACATTTCATCACTTTTTTTATTTTTTATTTTAGATAAAACAAAATTTTGAAGCAAAAACAAAATTTATTAAATAATTTCAATAAAACATGCAGACAAAAATTAAAGTCACCATAAATTAAGATAAAAGAAAAAAAAAAGGAAGCCATTGTAACAATATTTCTGATTGTAACTTGTTTCTGTTTGGCTTTGAAAATCAATAAATTCTCTTGTGTCAAAATAGTAAAAAAAAAAAAAAAATTAAAACTTATTTACAGCATCTGAAATTGGTTTGGAGTAAAAATGGTCTTTAGCATTTTTTAATATACACATTTAAGCAAATTTCAGTTTCATTAATAATGTCAACCAATTATGAGAATAAAATCAAATTATCTGTCTATATCTCTGAGATGAGCTATCATGATTACTTGCATTATTTACATTATTCAGATTGTTATCATCATCTTCATTGCTACATTCACTACGACTGGGCCATGTGAATCGATAAAGTTCACAAAAGAGAGAAAAAAACAACAACTCAAATCTCCAAGTTTTTTGGTTCACCACTGCTGTGGCCTGGTATTGAACTCACAACTCTTTGGATTTATTCACTGGATCTGACCAACATCTTGTGGGTTACAGGTAAATAACTGAGACATCCTGAAGAGGCATGGCATGTAGAACTAGAAGAATCTAACCCAGTGGACGAAATAAAGGTTTCGGTTTGAAAGGCTGTACAACGTCTGAAAAGTTGTGAATATGGCAATGAAGATAAGGATAACAGTCCAAATAATGTAAATAATGCAAGTGAAATAAAATTAATTTATTTTTGTTTTCAAATAACTTAATTTGCTAAGTTTTCTTGGGATGAAATATATTGCATGCACAAATTTATAATAATCTTTAAAATAAAAAAGATTCTTTGAATGGGAGAAAATAGAACAACCTTTTTTTTTTCTTACCCATATAAAAAAAGAAATTAAAAAAATAAAAATAAATTTTTCATTATTTTACAAGTACAATACATTTATGAAAGTGCAAGCTAAAAATAAGGAAGAGCATAATTAAATTATAGCATTTTATTTATCAAGTTTAAAATAACAAAAATTATTTTTTCTACCAAGTCATCAGAAAAGTCCAACCCAAAGAAATGGGTAATTCTCCTATCTCCATTTAATGGACTCTTCTGGTAATGTAGAATAGTGTTACACACACAAAAAAATATAGGTATAGATACATAGTTTTTTTGTTTTATTTTATTTTTTTTCATATGGTGACTAGAGGTTGTTTTTTTTTTTTAGCTTTATTTTCAAGAAGAAAAAAAAAAAAATCTTTGACCTGAATTTTGGTCCGCTTGTTCATTAAAACCTCCAAACTCAAGCATGCTATCAAAAATCACAAAAAGCCTTGCTAAAAGGTTATATCATTTAGAAAGATTCTCCTAAATAAAAAATTGGCAAAAAAAAAAAAAAAAGCTTAAAGAGTATGACATTTTTTTTTTTTTAATTTCTTGTTCTTAATTTTAAAATATGAACTAAAGTTAAAAAAGAAGAAAAAAAAGAAAAAAAAAAAAAAAAAAAAAAAAAAAAAAAAAAAAAAAAGAAAAAAAAAAAAAAAAAAAAAAAGAAGAAAAAAAAGAAAGAAAAAAAAAAAGAAAGAAAAAAGTCACTCATCAGATAACATACTGCAAAAAGACCTATTTAATTCATAATTCTTTAACGAGCATCTCTTTCTATTTAAATCTTTGGGACAAGGAGTTGTCTTTATTTACATGCAGACTATTGCCCACATCTTTGTTGTCATTATCACAATGTTTCAGCTGTTGTGCCCTCTGGTCTTCATCAGGTGCTTATCGATCCAGGTAACCTTAAAAAAATTTCCAACTGTATCCTTTACAAGGGTAAACTGTTCACATTCCACAGATTGAATAAAGGGCTAAGACTGAAATTCCCTGAAGCTTGCCTGGACTAACAAGCACCTGATGAAGGCAAAAAGGAACAATAGCTGAAACGCTGTGATAATGACAACAAAGATAAGGATAATAGTCTGCATGTAAATAAACATTTCTTCATTTTTAATTTCATCTGCTTTTCATAGCAATTTTACAGACTGTCATTTCTACGGCTTTCAGCAGACAGCATGAATTGGAACTGAAGATTAAGCTTTTAGCAAGACACACATCTTTTTTTCCTTTGGGAAGCTCATCTTCCCATCTTAACTTCTTTACTAATTTAGACCATAAATGCAACTGACTGCATAAAATCAAATCTAATTATATAGCTCAATGCTTGAGAGCCATTCAAAGCGTCAAACTGTTGATGATGAGCAAGGTGTGTGCTATGAATAGAAGAGAAGGTGATAGGAAGTGAAGATCATGAGGATAAGTAGGATAGATAATAACTGACTCTAGACTTGGAGAGGTCAAGATTGAAGTATTCAGAGAAGCATTCACAGGAGAGTCTATACCCATACGGTTAGCTGGTTGTTTTTGTTTAGTGGCATATCAACACCTTTATGGGTTATTTAATGCCGAAATCCAAATATTTTGTACACCATTTTTTGGTGAGGAGATAATATAGGTTTTAGTGATACAAGTCTTACTAATTAACCCATAGTTGGGAGAGAAGAGGTGGATTCATTCTTTCCATTGATATTTGCACGTAAGTGAAAACAAACAAACAACAGAAATTGGAACTCGGGTCTCCGATTAATAATTCTCAGCCATTATCCATTATACAACCCACACATCCAAACACAGAGCATCTGGTATTCCCCAGTGGTCACCCATCTAGGTACTGACCAGGCTCAGTGTTGCTTAACCTTGGTAATTGTATGGGAACCAGTGTTTCAGCCTGAGAAATTGTGATAACTCAAATTAAGATGAAAGAAAAACTAGTCAAAAAAATGAATAAGAAGAAAAAATGCTTCTTCTCATAAGTTCAAGATAATAATATTGTCTTTTTAATATTCCTTGGCTTTTCAGTAAAAAAAAAATCAAACCAGCCAAAACCTAATTTATTTACAAAAGTTAGTTTCAGTTGAGATTAGAAAAAAAAGTCTATTCACCATTCACTCTTCTAATGCAAGTAATTCAGCTCTATGTACAGTTTGTTATTTAAGCTTTGCTTTATATGTAACAAAGTTACCAATTACTTTTCAGTTGTTATTCATCTGATTCTATATGGTTTTATTTTACTAATCAAACAAGAGCCGATGCATTCATTGCCGTTTGACTCCAAGCTGCACATTGTACATTTTGAATGATTACAATTTTGTTATTATTTTTAAGGTTTAGCACCTCAACTTTTACCAAACAAAAGTCAGTCATACCATTGCAGGTAACTCTACAGAATCAGAATAAAATTTTGTCTTGTTGTGCCTTGATAGGACAGATGCAAAAATGACATTGGTTATAATACTCCATTTTTTTTTATATTCCTATAATTAACACTGAATGTTTTTTTGTTTTTTTATATGCCTATAATTAACACTTGATTTATAATTGTTATTACATTTTAATTTTTTTAAATGAATTAACACCAGATATTTTTTCTAAAATTTTTTTTTTAGCCAATACTTAATACCAGATTTTTAATTTTCATAATTTGTATTTCATTTTATAGTAAATTTGTAATTGCATTGTACATACATATATACATGTAAAACTGCATTTATTGGTTTAGGTTCAATACTTCTTCAATTTTAAACTCAAAGTAAAATCAAGTAAAAATAACAATTGATTCTTTACCTTGTCTCCATGTTATAAATGAAAACAATTATAATAAACATATTTTTAATATATACATATATTTAAATATATCTTCCTTCAAGATTAAGAGACAACTGCAATTTATGAGTTTCTTTAATACAATATTTCTGATATAAACAAGTGACATTTTTACTACATCATCAGAAGAGTCCACTACATAGAGATGTGCAATTCACCCATCTCCATGTAGTGGACTATTCCGGTGATGTAGAAAAGTGTTACACATGTATTTATAGATGTGAATTTTATGTTATATTTTTACCCATTCTGATAAAATGGCTAACCATTGCCAATGAAGGCTTACTGAGGTGTGGTTAACACTGACTACCCCTGTGCTGTAAGTGGAGCTATGATTCTCTTCATTTTAGATGGGAGAAGTTGCTCAGCCACAGGAATTCAAACCCTGTGACAACATTGTCCTCACTGCACTAAAGAGGTTGGGTTGGGGCAATCAATGCTGGGTAAATATTTTTACCCATTCTGATTTCCTATCTGAAATTCTATTTCAAGAACACAGTGAAAAGAATCTTAACATTTGTTATAATAATAATAATAAATTACTGTCTCAAATGGATTACAGAGGTTTTGGTTTATTGTCCATTGAGAAAAGCCAGAGAATGAAGCTAAGTGTAAACACTGAACTTTGAAAAGATTGAATTTTAAAAATTTAATTTTGCTCTGATTATGGTCAATTTTTTTTCTCTAAATCTTTAAGGCAAGTTCTAAAAAATAAATAAAGCTGTTGGTAAAATAAAGTTTTTGCAATATGATAATCTTAAAAGTGTTAAAAAAAAAAAAAAAAAAGAAAAAAGAAAAAAAAAGAAAAAAAAGAAAAAGGAAGAAAAAAAAGAAAAAAAAAAAAAAAAATGAAAAAAAAAAAAAAAAAAAAAAAAAAAAAAAAGGAAGAAAAAGGAAGAAAAAAAAAGAAAAAAAAAAAAGAATTAGGTGCAATGACACCAATGAAAATTTTGAATATCCATTGAGTAGTAATCACAGAATGGGTTGGAGTAACCTTTCAATTTGTAGGGGCAAAGTAGTAAGGCAGGGATGGGGGTAGTCAGAGGACAAGGATCAAGGGACATCTAGAATGGACTACCTTCATGCTTACAAATTCCTAGGTTGGGCAGTTTGAATTCAATTTGGCCTCATAACTGACCACTGACCAAGTATCATATAATCAGGTATCCAATTTGATAAAATCCCCCAAGCAGTTAAACTGAATAATAAAAAGACCAAATTGCAATTTGGTTTCAAGGGAAGAAGCAGCAGTGAAATTCATTAGTCTGTTTTAATTAAGATCACAATTTTTATTATTTCACAAATTATTCATACAGGTATCCCCATCTTTGTTGTTTATATAATAATATTTTTTCTTTTTTGACAAATATGTCCTTTTGTCTTCCATATTGGTTAAAGAAACATACATAAAAACAATGAAGATGAAGATATTAATTGAAATAACTTACAAAATAATGAAAAGGTTTAATCTCAGAATTTCAGACAATAATTCTCCTCACCTTCGTTGTTCACACATTCAATAGAGGGAGTATATGCGAGTGTGTATGTGTGTCTCCGAGTGTATGTGGAGGCTTAATTTTTTTTTTTTTTTTTTATAGTAAAATATCAAACTGATCTCTCATTTTATGTTCAGCCAAAACATTCAAGTCAGGTGTTAAATAAACAAATACAGATCTCATTGCATTTTTCATGAGTCTTTCATGATTGTTTTTACGGTTTATCAACCTTTTGTAGGTTATTTAAAGCTGAAATACATTTTTGGACTGTAAGAACATTTTTTTTTGGCGAGTGAATATTGTATTAACACGATTTGTAGATAATGATTTTCATATACAAGTTCAACTATTTAACCCATAGCTAGGGTGGAGAAGCGATTGATTCATACCTTTCCCAAGGGTATTTGCACATGATCGAATGTAACAAACCCAAATAGAATTTGAACTTGGCTCTCATTCTAAACTGATACCAATTACACCGCCTGCACAGCTAAGCTTAGAGCATCTGGTATTCTTAAGTGGTTACCCATCTAGATACTGATCAGGCTCAACATTACTTAACTTCAGTGATTGTACAGAAACTGGTGTTTCAACATGATACAGCTGTAATAGGTGAATGTCAAATATTGAAGGCTGATACCAAAGGCCTGAGAATTGAAATGAGTTTCAGTAAATAATAATCACTGCAACTAATACTTATATATATATATATATATAATTATGAGAGGGATAACCTTAAGATTCCATGACTATAATTTATTTCCCCAGAAAATATATAGTCATGGAACCTTAAGGTTATCTCTTAATTATTTGATTAATATTTGCTCTGGTGTTACATTGAGCTCTCTGGATCACATCCTCTTTGGAATTATCCATGTGGATTACCAAATCCTTCATTACCTTACACTATATATATATATATATATATATATATATATATATCTCAATTGATAATTAGTAGGGATAATTCTAAAGAGGATATTAATCCAAAGAGTGCTGTATGTAATAATGAATACAGAATCATAAAATCCATCTGATTATAATTTATTTTGTAGACTTTACCTAAGTCCATAAAATAAATTATAACCAGATGGATTTTAAGATTCTGTACTTATATACTTGAAACCAATAGGTATATATATATATATATATATATATATATATATATATATATATATATATATATATATTTATATATATTTTTTATTTAATTTTTCTATTTCTCATTCAGTTTGTTCCAAGGTCTGGAATGGATTATCATCAACCATATTAGCCTTATAATTATAACCCCTATTAACCCTTAAGAGATTTCAGTTGTAAAAACACTGGAGTTCTGAACTAATTCTTGAAAAATCTGAATATGTGGTGTTAGTGGAATTAAATTTGTATCTTTTTTTTTTTTTAATCAATTCACCCCAAGCAAGGCAACAATGCCACTAAGACAGAAGGGGGCTACTGGGAGTGAAATAGAATGAAAAAACTTTAGGGAATGGATGATGGGAGCAGGTTTTGGTGAAGCTGGAAGCTTCTTGTCCAAAACCTTGACCCTTTGTAAGTTATTTAAAGCCAAAACATATTTTGGATTGGAGAAGGTTAAGTTCCCAAGTGGTCACCCATCTAAATTCTAACTAGTTTCAGTGCTGCTTAAATTTGGTGATCTGGAGGAAGAGGGAATAGCAGTATGATTTTATTTTCTTTACTAACAACACCTATGAAAATTGTATGGTTTTTATATTTAAATTTCCTGATGAATCTTAATTCCAAACTCATAAGTTAATGATTGAATAGAATCCTTGCAAGTTCTACAACTATAAAATAACTGTGGAAACTCCCTTATAGCATCCTTAAATATTTGAGCTTAACAACTTTAACAAAATATTGTAAAAACAAGCATAAATATGAATGCAGGTCATTAAAGAAGTAAGATGGTACAAATGAAAAGATTAAAACTTGACAAGGTTTTCCATTTCACTGAAGCAGATGTTAAATGCTTGACAGTGTTATCATCTTCCTTTATGAATGCTTTCTTTAGGTCACTAAAACCAAACAATACTTGATATATTCCCTTACTTCTTCCCTCACAATCAAAATGGAATGGTTCATTATTTATCTGAGACAATGGCAGGTTGCAACACATGATAACTAACTAATGGAGGGATAAGCAGAATTATAATATTGCCCTTTTTATATATAAAACTTTAGTTTATACTTGCGGAAAGTGGGTAAAAACAAATAAAAGAAATAAAAATATCAAATAAAAATTGTAAAATTGAGTTAAAATCAAAATACCAACAGATTTTAAAAAATAAACTCAAAATCAAGTTTTTTTTAACTAGATATAAGATTAAATTAAAATATATGTCATGAGATTTTAAAAAATGAAAGTGTTATCTTAATTTAATTTTAAACATAAATGCTGCATTTCTCACCTGTACCTGTTATCCAGCTTCTTCACCCTTCTCCAACAGCACCAGCTCCATTGACTTGGACATGTAAACCATATGCTAGATGGGAGGATTCCGAAGGTCCTTCTATACAGGGAACTGGCCACCATCAAAAGGGCAACCTCA